CAAAATCACGAAGATCATTTTTCGATTTCACGACTCACGAAATGCAAAATTTGATGTTCACGATTTTTAGAAATACAGAAACGTAACAAAGTCTGAAACCATTTAACAATTTTCTAGACAGCAGAACTCGATATTAACAAAAACACATTTTACTCTCTCTAACATGAGCGTCTTACGATGGTTCATGAAGTTCACGAAGAGGTAAGGTGGTATACGATAATGACGTGTCCCGATGAAACAAAGAAACCTCAATTTATTTACTTTTCTCCCCATAGTAATGAAATTCGACCGAGTTTCAAACGTAAACATTCACAAGTTAGAGTAAAATATTGGTAAATTCAAGATCCTAGCTAGCCTTCTAGCTCTTCACCATTCACAACACGCCTATTAATCACGATTTACGGAATGGTATTTCTTTAAATCACGAATCACGAAGAACGAATAAATGCTGATCACGAGTCACGAAAATACACTTGCCCCCCCATGAAAGTTATTATTCAAATGAGTAAAGTTGTATTTTAAGCGTTTATTAGGGAGTGGGAAATCCATCATGGCCGCCATATATTCAAATGGGAGTAACCACTGCAAAATTCTTGGCTTCAATTTTACTAAAAGAGATGCGCCATCTCGTCTATATAAGTTATCTATTGTAGCTATAGCTTTCTCCATATGCAACCTGGAAATCTGGAATATAGTTTGAAAAAATGTCATTTTATTGTTCCATCACAATTAAAAGCAAGCTTAAATTCCAATATATATCACGGGCTTCATGACCAATTCAACTTGACGACAGTAATATTCTATCTAAAAGCAGTTAAAATAAAGTTTGCGGCACTTGAACTGTTCAATGTCTATTTACTTACTTATTTATGTATTTATATAACAATGCAACGCAGCGCAACACAACGCAACACAACACAACACAACACAACACAATACAATAAAATACAATACAATACAATACAATACTACGGCACGGTACAGTACACTACACTACACTACACTACACTACACTACACTACACTACACTACACTACACTACACTACACTACACTACACTACACTACACTACACTACACTACACTACACTACACCACACTACACTACACTACACCACACTACACTACACTACACTACACTACACT